CTTGAAAAGTCTTGCGAATCTACTTATTCTGAGCGTTGAAATGGGCGATTGGAGATGGAGATTAGAGATCATACAATGAAGAATCATATATGCTGACTCTCTAATTCTAAGGCTTCCCAAAGAACGACCTCGGGCGCCGAGAATGATTCCTGGGATTCAACGGGAAAGCAAGCTGAGGCTGTATTTTACTTAAAAGCTACCGTTAAGCTACAAAATTTGTTACTATCATTTAAAACTGATAGACTGTATATATAAGTGGGGGAATACTTTACTCGATCATCGATCACGGAGAATGCAATGAACGATGTTGGCTCCTTGAGAGTTTTCCATCAAACAAGATTTATCTTATTTCGGCTACACCATAAAACGTGCCCAATAAAACGTTCACATACTGTAAATATTGCGGGCTTAGACAGTGAGATTTTCCCGGAGCCAAATCATCATCTGCTGTCAAAATGGCTTGCGGCTTTACTATTTGTTGAGAAGTGGGTTGGGACTGGATGTCTGTACTGATTAGGTAATTGTCGAGGTAAGAGATTGGCGCTTGCGGTAGCAGCGAGCTTTATGTGAATAAAAGACATATTACCGACGACTTAGAATGTTTATATTTCATAGTATGGATGCAAAATATGATGTATGAAGTATGAAACTCACAGCTGGCAATATATTTGTTGCGATAGACCTGGGATCCCACAAATCAGCCTTCAATTGGTTGTGGTTGGGGAGAAGTTCGCGTCTTTCTATCGCAGAATTAAGCATCAGTGTTAGAAGCCTAATAAAAAATTCGTACGGATCAATATGTGTACACTACAATTCATTTAGAGTCTATGTTTTTGAGCTGAATTCCTACTATCCCCGGGCGGTTCATTTGTGCTGGTTGCCTTATTGTATTAAACGGTTTATTGCCGAAATGAGATCGCGCGTGGTATTGAAGAATTTAATTTATTAATTGTAAGCCACACGAGCCACAGCCATGTCATCCACGTGTCTTATACGTACTGTTTATTAATACTGATAAACAATAAAACAAATAATGGCATCACACCTATTAAAAAGAAAAACGTCTAATGCAAAGGAATTAAAAAAAACCCCAACAAAACTGGGTTATGTTTTCTTTCTTCGACGACAAAGACAATTCCAACATTCATCAAGCTGGTCGCTCTCACAAAAATTATTACTGGAATGATTATTAAACATGATTATTCATAAGAAAATTGAGGATTATACAGGAAAACAAATTACCTTGAGTTAGAAGTTAGTGAGCGTACGACCTTAGTACAAGTGGCTCGCGATATAAGAAAGTGATCGGGACCCATAGTAAAAAATCTTAGAATCTTTCTTATACCGAGAGTTTATTAGTAACTTTCTTATATAGAGATAATTTCATATAGACTATTTTTTAGATCAACTTTCTTATATCAAATTTTAATTAGTGTTTCTTATATCGAGAGCTTCTTATATCGAGTTTCACTTGTAATCTGATTTTACCAAGTGAAGTGTCTATTTTAACCCAACAAGCGAAGACCAACTGTCTAAACTGGGCACATGATTACAACTGGAATGCAAGATTGAAAAACGTATTAAAAAATGGTGGTGGAAAGAAAAGACTTCTTCCCAACCCGTTTTTTAAATTTAAAATGGGATGGTCTCGAAGAAGATGCGGTATAAAAACGCGAATCCAAGCAAATATTGTAACTGAAGAAGATATTAAATAATTAATATAATAATAATTTGTTTTGGCATTTTTTATTTTTCAAACTGTCCTCATTACGTCCCAAAAACTGACCACCAATACTTTTGCCGGGGACTATCAGTCATTAGATGGGATGGTTTTTTTTCAAGTCAGGAAAAAGAGATTGTACAATCTCGAGAGCTTTAATCAAGTTCATTAGGGACGCTGTTCGTAGATACCGTCGACCTTTATACAAGTTCCGATCTTCCAATAATCGACCCAATTCAATGTGAAATGGTCGAGTCTGTCAATTTCTCATGTTTTAGAGGGTTATTCTTTCCCCTTTTTGGTATCCATGACAATTCATGGTATGCTTCCTGTTTATTCTTTACCCATCGCTATTAGCATCATTACCATGATTACGAACCTACGCGCTCACTCCGAGTCCTACATGTAGTAGATATAATAGTGGGTCCGATTTGTAACCTGGTAACGAAGAAATTATGTATCATTGTTAGCATACATTCTTATTCCTGTCTTTCGCTCTGTTCTTTGCATAAGCGTAATTCAATCATCGTTTCCCTATTGTTCATTCACAAAACCGACCTCATCGTGCACACTCAACATATCCGTAATACTAGTCTGTAAGGCTCGATCCCAATTTGTTTGGTTTCCAACCGTTGCTCGATAGTCCTGACAGGGTTATTATTCGTAAGATTATCCATCGACCAGCTGGACACAGCATTCGCCTCCAATGGACGATCAACTTGTCGTCCCACTCGAACGGGAGGAGTCTCGAGGGTCCAATTTGAGAATTTGACGTGATTGGGCGCGAGTATGAGAAATGCAAGAGGACGAAGCTGAAGGTGATGAGAGGGAGAGGGATGATATGGACAGGGATGCGTGCGAGGAGTAGACTCTGAAAAGTCGGTTGCGTCGTTAAAACTGTCTGACATTGCGTGGGTGTCCGGGGAAGCTTGATATTGATCCGGCTTTATTAGATAGTCTTTTAATAGTCCTGCTCGTAGCCTCGCGACGCAGCAATCTCGATGACATATCATAGGTTGATCTAAACGACAATGTGTATGCAAAATGTTAAAATTCAAGAAAGACCACGCATTTCGCGAATAAATGTGATACGAACCTGACAGTATCACGGGCGTACGTAGACTGTAACCTGAGTACTAGCTCATTTATCTCCATACCATCATCAATTTCTCCCGCTCCTGTATTACCCCACTGTCTAATTAGTCTCCGTATCTCTTTGTGTAAAGGTAAGACGAAGCCTTCGTCATTATTGAGAATCGGAACGTTATTAGAGTACATTCCATAAGGCAGATAAGATAAAGATGTTTCCGATTGACCAGCGAAGCTAGACGATGGAAGAGCTTGTTGCGGAGGAGGCTAATCGTGTACTCTGGTGATGGGTGAGTCACGCCTGAAATGGCCGAGCGGCGCGTTCGAGGTTGTCCAATGAGCCGGCTAGGGCCGATTGATGACTGACATTCGTAGAATATAACTGCGATCTCTTTCGAATCGTTTCCAATGGCACTCGTTGGCTGCCACACATCTGACTGTAAGTTAGAAGGAACTTCATATCGAATGCTTCATCCATGCTGTTCGACTGTGGTGGTGTATTAGAAAGCAGAGAAGATTCAATTTTCGTACTGTCCCCTTAGTACTGGCAATTAGAAATGAACGTAACTTTTTGACAACAAGGTGTCATTTATTGGGCTAACGCGTGCTCGCTTCTTTCTTCTCTCGTCGATTTCAGTTTGCAATTCAGCAATCTCTGATTCCAAGGCTTTTATCTGAGCTAATACGCGTGACCTTTTCTCTTGGTCTTGGTTGTCCCGGTTCACTGGGCTGGTATTCGATCTCTGCCGCTTGGATTTACGTCTGTGGGAGGACATTGGCATATATCGAAGACACGTAATTACAACTAAATAGGCTGATTACATCTGATCACGTGATGTATGAATTAGGTTAATCCAAATTTAGTAACGCATTAACTATTTCAGGGAGGGTATTAGTATAGTAAACATAAAACTCGGCAGAACCGTGTTCTGAAATGCATAACATCAACGAAAACATACAAGCGATTACACACGGTAGGTAGAGAATGTATCATACATTATTTCCTACTGTACTTATCAGAATATATTTCTCTTTCAGATGCCAATTAGCATTTTATCCGTACTTTTATGTTAGAAATCGCACGCGTCGCAAATGGATTCGCCATACGATCCGCTACTCCCGATTTAGTTAGAGAGATCACGATGTGAAGATGTTCTTTGGTCAGCTGGATGTTACTTCAACATCCGTAAGCAGACTTATCCAACTTTTTGTGTCTGTTTGCGTGATGGGTAAGTGCTCGATGAACAAAAAAGACTTAAAATGCTACCACTAATACTAAGCAACACAACTAGTCACCACCATTCAGGTTGATGGGAGAGACATATCGAACAGGGAGGAATACTTTACTCGGTCATCGACCTTGTAATCGAAAGCGCCAGTTACAAGGTGGTAAGGGACGTGAAGGTATGGAAGATTAGATTGTGCGGTATAAACGAGTATAAGGCACGGATCAGGCAAGACTATGTATTTAATTTGCTTACGTTATTAAAGGAATGACTGAAGCGCCATGGAGTTTACCTGCCTGATCTGACAAGTCTGAGAAGAATGATGAGTCTTCTTAATGCTGGTCTGAAATCCATCTGAACATGCTGTTGGTCTATAAATATATTATTAAGTAAAGATGGGTCGATAAAAGCAGGTGATGTTTCAACGAGTTTGCTTTCTGCAAGTTGACAGTAATAGCAATGTAAGTAAAGCGCAAAATTTCTTTAATTAGCGTATATTAATGCTTCCATATTGCTTGATTGATTCCCATAGGTCCGAGCCACTTCACAAAGAGTTTTCCCGTCGAAACAACTTCGCTACAAGCCGAAAATCATAACTCCCTCCCAAGTAGCATCTACAGAAGTCTCATGATTTGGACGATATATAGATAATGAACTGTATGGAAATGATAATATCGCACAAGATATAGCTATAGGCGAAGAAGCAGATACAAAGCGAAGGAAATGAAATGAGAAATATGCAGAGGAAGAGCAAGAAAGAGGAAGAGTTAAGGAAGGGGGAAGTAACGGAACATAATATTAGTGGGATTATGGAAGACGAGACTTTTGGGCCGTGGTATTGAGGATTGACGGGGCATTAGAGGTTAGTATGCGACAGGAATAACCGCCAATTAGTATTGGGATATGGTGATGCATAGGGTAGTAGTAAATGTATCATTACTAACAAATTGTCAATCGTTATTGGATTTTTAGATCCGCCAACTAATTCAGGAACTTTTACTTTCCGACTGCGATAGCTCGCCCAAGTTCTGTCAGATGCTCTTTCACGCCAGAATGTCAAAGCATCGACAGAAATAGGTGAAAGCTTATGACATCTCTCAGCGGGAAAAAGAAATCCCATATTTAGTAGGATGTATTGTCTATACTATTATTCAATCTATTCCGTTATTGCTACGGCACACAGAACTTCGCCAATATTATAATCCAAGGTCCGTACGCGCTTAGGCAACATTCAGCTTTTCGCTCTGGACCTCTTCTGACACGTTTGCCGCCAACTACTTTCTTCCACAACTAACTCGATAGATGTTTAGTCTGATCAACGTCGTCCTTTTTTAATTTAATTTCTCGGTCGACTTTCGAGCTAACTCCACCAAGTCTTTCTTATTGGCTCTGTCGGGATGGTACAATAAGAAGGAAACGACGCGAGAGATGAGGAGTGTCATTATGGAAGAGTATGCCGGGCTGTTTATTCAACGAAATACGTAGAAAATAACTACACTTCAATCATAAGACACTTACTTTTCGACATAGTATCCAACGCCCGCAATACATCCACTCGATCTTCGATCCTGACCATACGTTCACACTGCTCACTTCTTCTTCGTGACGTAATTTCCATGCGTCTCCTGACCAAGCAAGGTCAAGTACAGGCAATCCTTTCCCTCTCTAATACCATTCTAAACCGATACCAATCTCCACAACAAACTGACACGGAAGTGTCGAAGTATATGTTGATGAAATTTCGGGATTATTTGTTGATCTCGGAGGGGCTGCGAGTGCAATTAGGGATGCAGTTATCGAACAGTTGGTGAACATCCAAGTTATTCGGTGCAGATAGCAGCTAGTTGGTGCTTAAGAAGTTTTGGGATTTCAATGCCAGAACTGCTGATGGATTGATTACCGAAGTTCTTGGGTTATTGAACAGAGTAGTGCATTGTTTGAATTGCATACGAATCTTCAACAGATTCATTCTGGCGATGTGGAACATGCGAACAGCAATGCTTACTCAGATACCGCAATTTCACATTGTTATTACATATGTATTTGGTCAATGGCTCCTCTAAAGTCTCGTGTAAGCTCATCCAATAAGGTAATATTAATAAGATAAGATACCATCAATAATATACATTGCCAGTAAAGATCTCTGTGCCGGTTGGAAGATGCATAAAGCATTGTTGATTATGTTATGTACCGCAAATTGTTTCTTATCATAGTTCTGATTGTACGTGGGTCTTTTCACATCTCTTAATTGTTTCGGCAGCTTCTACATGTTATAAAACCAAATCATAGTTACTATCAGAAATGACATTTGAGTTAGATTGATTCTTTTATATATGTAATTGGACTTGGACTTACACACTTAGTTCCGTATCCCACAGTTATTGCCTCAATTCCAATTTAGGCTAAATCCTTCTTTTCGATTCTATCATTCTTCTCGGACTTGTCAGATCATGCAGGAGATGAAAGAATTATGCCCATAGAAAGAACTTGGTGCTTCTGATTCAAACACATATGTTCATTGTACATTGCACCAATATGATCTTCCATACACATTACCAACATGTCTCCATACCATGCGATCCTTTGCATCTGAATGTAACTAATGCTTCTCGATTACAAGGACATAGTTCATTGCATTATCCGTGATCGAGTAAAGTATCCCACCCACTTATATATACGGTGCTGTTCGAATACGTCTTTCAGTTTTGACCTAGTTCCAGCAAATGATAGTGACAAATTTTGCAGCTTAACGGTAGCATTTTAAGTAAAATACAGCTTTTTTGTTCATCAAGCACTTACATCTTGCTTTCCCGTTGCTAATCTCATGCAGTTGGGAAGCTTTACCATTGGAAAGTCAGCATATATGATTCTTCTATTGTATTGTATGATCTCCCATTTCAACACTCAGAATATGTAGATCGCAAGACTTTTCAAGTGATCGAATAGACTCGTTCAACGCTTATCCAAAAAAAGCGCACTGCATGCTAATTGACGTTCTCAAGTTATGCTTCCATCTACTAGTACGCCTAATTACGACAACTTGATGTATGGAATAACTTACTTGTGGCGAGAATCCCGTCATCTGAGTCGTCCCTCACAAAATTCTTGGTAATTCGTATTGCTAGAGATTGGTATCATATACCTTTGTTCCCTTCTGGATGTTTCGATATTAAACAAGAGCTCTTACCACGATATTACAAGCCCATCCACAGTCCATTATTCTCTCTACCACTGTAAGCACTTCTGCTCTCATACCTGAATCAAGCTGAGACACAAAACCGGAACCGCCACATTACAATCCACATACTCGCTTATTGTAGCCACAACATATTCGACAATAAAACCCAGGCCGGTTTCGTTCCAGACTTTGACAGCACAAACGTTACCATCATCATCGGGCACGATTTTTTGCTGAAAATCGGGTTGACAAAACGTTTCTATGATCCCACGTTGCATGCTTCTAAAACACATTAGCCGTTCCTCTACGATATCTCTATTCGTAAAGCAAGCCTGATAAGAAAAGAGAAATGCCTAATGATGCGTAATACAATATTAAATAAGGATTTATCGTTTTGCGCAGTTGTATTTGTCATTATAGTAAAACCGGAACCAAACTTTTAAAGTTATATTAATATGCTCAGTTAACCCTCACATGAAACAAAGAATTAGTTTAATAGCTCACGTTGTCATAGTCCTTCAGTCGTATTTACTAAGCGGACAAGAGGATGCGACGTGCGACACCTTGAAATTCATGGTTGGTGGAACGGCTCGCGCTTAAAACGTGCCACATTGGTTCCTAGTGTAACCCAATTTCGATAATAGAATTCACTGAATCAAACAATCAATTTTAATAGTTGTTGAATTGAGCATTGATCTGTTGTGTCTCTATATCTAGGCTTCTGTATTCAATTTTCAAATCTTTCTATATTTACATGCTTTTGATATAGTCCCTCTAATTCTTCGATCAGATTTAATAGTTAAGCATGCGCTAATGTCCTTTGGTCGTCTGTCGGTAAAGCCCCTCTCGGAAGCAAACGACGTTATCTATACCATACTCTGACTGCTTGTTTTTTCTTTATATTTTTCTCTTTCAATCCAGAGATATCGTCATTATTAGTATTAAATACACTCGTTTTGCGGCGCCGTTTGGGCGACCGTCGCGTTGATGGTTATCCCAGTGTCCGAGGAAGCTGAGACCTCTTCATGACCATTGGTTTCTTGAGGTGGTAGTACCTTCTGTTCAACAATGACCAGTCCAAGCATTGGCTTCTTTCTCGGTCTTCCAGGGTCGTGCTTCTTCAGAACTACATACATACCTTCAGCAATTGTATTGGAGCAATAAATGCTGAAAAGACCTCATTTTGAGATTGTTGTCGTATTTGTGTTGCTTGAAGCGTCTGCCAACTTCCGTGGCTTGCATCTCTCTTTGCGCACTGGTGTTGTGGATATCCTCACACATAGCATCCCTTGAAATGTCCATGTTAGCCGTACCTTGTAAGGGAAGATGCCAAACCGAAAACCAAGAATTCTAGGATGAAAAGAATGAATCTGTTGAAGATTCGTTGTTGTTTGTCCTATTATGTTGTTTGTGCTATGGTAACCTAACGGCTGGTACCTGCACCTGGCACTCCTCGTGTAAGCATACAACACCCTCGCAGATCTTTCAAGTGTGTTCGTATATTAGTGTCTGTTTGTTGATTATGATGTGATTCAAAAAAAAATAAAAAAATTTTATTTTTTTTTTGGGGGGGGGGGGGGGTAATCGCGTCCATTTGACAAAACCTTGGTCATGTGCCATTTCTTTGGAGTGGAAATCTGATGCTTTTGGTCTGTTGGCTCTGCTTTCGTCAAATTTTCATCTCTACCATTATTTTCCTCTGATTGATGCAACTGCAGACTACTCTCTTCATTACATCATGGTCAAATGTTGATTCTGTTGCTGGATTATGATGCGTTTTTATACTCTGAAATGTCCTTATCATTATTGTGATATTCATACAAGCGAAATCGTTTTTCGGTATCAGTAGTGTCATTGTTCATTTCGTGTATTGGATCTACATTTTTAGGATAATGAGATATTCGGTTGAAAGAAATTTGCGTGAGTTACTTTGAAGATGTTCGTCGAGATCCAGCTAGGCGCATCCAATAATCCCATTTAAATTTAACTTACTCATGATCCAAATTTGAATCGTTATCGTTTGACTGCCCAACTGCTATAGGCTTATCTTTCTTACTTCCATTCATTCCTATGAAACAGACAAGATTCCGGAATACCAATAAATCAGATCAGGGAAGCGACAATCCCATTGCAATTTATCGTTCTCCATAATTAACCGACCTATCCTTTTCCTTTGCGATTTCTGAGAGACCACAGTTTGTATTGCCCAATATACGGCAGGTATTCTCTTCGACATCTTCTCTTGAGCAAGTTTAAGGCCCTTAAAAATTCACCTTTTCGACTAGACTTTATTCCATCTTCGCGAAAGGTGGGCGATAACGAATGGCGGAAGGGGACGATGCACTCTGAAGATGAATCTGAAATTGCTACTGTGCTTTGTTTCGAATGATGGAAGTTAGTCAAGACTTTGGTTTGTCCGACCGAAGCATTTTATTTTCAGACTTGTTCTCTATAATAAATGAAGGGTTCAACTCAGCCATGCAAAGATAAAGTAGCGACTCGCAGAAAGTTACAAGCGCGTGCTTACCTCCCTAGGCTACCAAAGCCCTTTGGTTTTGCACATCACCCACACTGTCTTGGATAGTAATCTTGTATCGAACTTATCCGACATTGCGGTATTATCTCTGGTCTTCTGCTTCTTGGGCGAAACAGGAGACGAGGACGTGTCGTTATCGTGCGTGCGTTTCTGAATTATACACGAGTATGTCTTCACGTTTGCGAATCTTTGTGTCCGGCAAGAATCTGAATCTGTTTATAAATGATAATGTGTTGTTGATAAAACCCCTTCGATTACACAAAAAGACAAAAGTGGTAATATAGCACAAGAAACTGTAAAATTATCGTAATGATAAGAGTGTCAAACGAGTCAACTCTTCGTCTAATGACATTAATTCATTCCTAACAACTAAGACTTAGGACGTTTGTCACCCCAATTCCCATAACTAAATACTCATGACTTCACAACAAAAGAAAAATCGCTTTTCATTCTTCGTTTCTCCTCCCAGCTTTCCGTATCATATTATCACCAGCGACAAATCAGTCCATTCTTTCTTTGACCACAACGGTTTATTTGACCGTGCAAATCAGTCGACGCACGTGTCGGCTGCGGACACGTATCGAAAGCTTCGAAAGCTTTAGTAAGGCGCTCAAGGAGTATGGACACTGTAAAGGCATGGAAGAGCGACATGTTAAGCGTTTTTGATGGAATTGCAGGCAGGAAGCATAATATAGGAAGGATCATGATAAAATCAAATCTAACTGATATCGACATGAGCATGTGTCTTCAGTCGACGTCGTAGTTTTATGTTGGCTTGGCTGATGTTCAAGGAAAGCTCGTAAGTTGTGGTTGGGCGCTATTTTTGGTGGTCTGGTTCAAGATGGCAAGCATCGAACTAAACAGGTGGCAATCTATTATAGTATAAAGTTAGACAAAAGGACTGACATGCTCACGAAGTTTTGGGACAAGTATTCTAAGAAAGCGATTGTAAGTAGCACAAGGTCATTTATGGATCTGTGCAATTGTAAATATGAACGTCTTAAATCACCATTGAAATCCTTAAAAGAAAGATGAGCGAGCTCATGGCCGATCTCGACAAACTAATAAAAAAGACTGGCAAGGACTATGAAAGCAAATAAAGAGGGGTAACAAGGCTGCCGTTGAATCCCATGAAGTAAGTAGACAGTATTTTCTTCTCACCAAAGTGATGTTAATTTTGCTCATCCTGCTACTTCGCTTATGGCATTCTTTATTTAGAAGTACATATCTACGCTGACGTCACTTGGTATAGAGATTGCCCAAATACTAAGGAATATGCAATTCAGCTTTGTCCCCTGTGCAGGCACGACCAATGTGTGAATGTAAGGTTCAGTAAATTGTTGCATCATTGATCAAGAGGATCTGGGTAATCTGGTTAACACAGTTTTTTCCTCTTCAGTAGCTCAATGACCGCCTCTATTTCCGTCTGATAGTGCTATGCGTTTTGAGTTTTGGCTGGTTACTAGTAGTTCTGCTGTACAAGTTAGTCGTCGTCAAGTACAGACTATAGACTTTAGCTACTGCTTTGCCGATCCAAATATCGAAGCAAGCGCTTAAATACAAAGCAGTTTTCATCTCTATCTCTAAAGAGGAAGGCGCGCGGAATGTAATTGAATTGGATTCAGCGATGTGGTCTCTCGGTATCGCGAGATAACAATCGGTAACAATTTAATTTACATCACGAATGTAATATCATCAAAGTCGTTGTAATTCCATTATAAAGTACTCAAAATGAGTGGCTAGTAATTAACGTCAGCAGAATATTCCTTGAACGTGATGTCAGTCAAATTGCTTATTATTATGGATTTTCAAGGAGGGTACGGAAGTTTGGGATTTGGGAGTACCTGATTTGGTTAAGAGAATTTTGCCTGCAGATGAGCCATTATTATTATGTCTGTCAAGATGAGACTTTTGATACGTTTCCTGCAGAATTTTTAATTATCTATACGAATTGCATTAACTTCTAACGAGAACACTGTCCCTGATCATGTGATTATAGGCATTTAGTTGGGGGCGGTAAGAGTTTAGCCTACGAAACGTATACAAGCACAAAATCAGCATTGTGTAATAGAAGACTTACTGAAGGTGTTTCCTCTCATGAGGAGTTACATTCTTTTATTGTCTACACCTACGATTGAACGCTAAAGGTGTACCTGTTTCCTCTCATGACCAATGTCTTGTCGTAATTGTTTGTTGTTGGAGGTTGAGATTGGTGCAAGTTAAAAATCAAAGTATTACATCAAAGTAACAATGAGCAGTTCGACATATTAGACAATCAGACACGCGCAATTGTATCACAATCAAACAATGTAATAATGAGTTCGACATATTAATTGTATCACACTCAAAAAAGGCGTTCTGTATAGAAAAGGTTTCTCGAAAAAGGATTTTGGGAAGACTGACATAAATATGAACCACAGCTTGTAAACAAAGCCACAAGACGTACGATTAATACAAATCTCAGATTAAGATTAAGATGTCTAATAATAATACAGATCCAAACCACTATTGGAGTCTTGCGTTTTATTAGGCACGCCTTGCGTTGAACTTTAACAGGCGTCGCGAGATATTTGTAAAATCTATTTAATCTCACCATTTCCCTTGTCAGCAAGATCTTTACATTTCACACATTTAATGATGATGTATACATTTTACTGCCTTTACAACGGCTATGCTTGTCAAGCCAAA